GGAGCGTTCGATATACTCAATGGTGCAACAGGTCGATTTAATCTGACCTTCACGGCCCCTTTTCTCACTTGGCTATTTTTAGTAATAGCTCGACTTCAGCACCACTTGGCAGCACGTTTTTGCAATAGTATTGCATACATATTTAAAACATTAGCCACATCGGATCATATATAAGATTTTTAGTAATAACTCAACTACAGAAACCCACTCAAACACACACAAAAAGTTTCGTTAAAATCCGTACAACCATTTTAGGAGGATTTCACTCACAAACACATCTACAGAAGAATTATAAATACATTCAAAGATAGCTAAAGGTCGTTTGTAGGCCTCACCCCTCATACGAAGTTCCAGTACTGTACCATGAATACTGTCAGAGCTATGCAGTATAAAAATTCGATTTATATGGGAGGTGCCACGCCTCCCTCCACAGCTGGACTTTTTCTTCATGAGTATGCTATTGATTTCGTATATCTCCATACCAAGTTCCAGAACTCTACCATGAACACTTCCAAAGATATGCAGTATCAAAAATTCGGTTTGTATGCCACGCCCCCTTTTCCAAAAGTTCCAATTTTTCTCCAAGAGTATGCGATTTATTTCGTACATCTCCATACAAAGTTCCAGAACTGTACCATGAAATTTCCAGAGATATGCAGTATGAAAAATTCGGTTTGTATGGGAGATGCGACACCCCTTTTTACAATAGCTCAAATTTTTCTCCAAGGGTATGCGATTGATTTCGTATATCTCCATACCAAGTTCCAGAACTCTACCAAGCACACTTTCAGAGATATGTAGCATGAGATATTCTGTTTGTATTGAGGTGCCACGCCCCCTTTACATATAAATTTTTTCTTTTAGATAAATCTGTTTATACTGCGACCTTTTTGATTTTAATCAAATAATCCTTTTTAATGCCGGCTTGAGGTCAGGGTGTTAATGGTATTAAAACACATTCAAATACATTATTTCCCAATATATTTCAATCTCCTCTGGAGATCGTCTTCAGGGGCTACAACAATTACGCAAGTTTTTTATTAGCATACAAGAAAAAGCTAACACATCAAAAACATACATANTGGAGATCGTCTTCAGGGGCTACAACAACTACGCAAGTTTTTTATTAGCATACAAGAAAAAGCTAACACATCAAAAACATACATACATTAATTAAATTTTAGCTCCACGACGTCCGTCTCGTTTGTCGTGCAGTTTAGAACTAATATTACAAGTGTCAATCAGGTGCCTGTATATGTGGGTGCAGTTTTCTGCTTCCGTTTTGTAGTTTAGTCTCTTATTTGGTGGTGTGTTCATTATGTGGAGCATTTCTTATGTGAAACGTTTATTATAGTGTTGTTCTTGCTGTAATATGCTCACAGCTTCAAAATCGGGATTGTGTGCGCTCTCTGCACAGTGGGCCGCTAGTGCAGTTTTTTGTGTGTTAATGGATGCTCTACAGTTTATGTCCGATCGGTGTCCTGATATTCTTGTTCTAAGTTTGTTCTTTGTTGTTCCTACGTACTCTTTCTCACATTTGTTATTTTCATCACCAGCACANTTGTGCTATTCTAATATTTTCCTTGTCATATATGCTGAAGCTTTTAATCTGTCTGAGAAACCTGGTATGTAAACTACCGATTT